TTTTTTTTTGTATTTCTTATCACTCTTGAGAGTTGAGAGTTGCGAGATTTTTACGCAATATTAACACAATCTCAATAATTTTATAATGTGAAACGGTTTAGTTAGTTATGACCTTCTCTATATCGAGCAATTTTTCTATTGATAAAATTTGTTCATATCTCCAAAGCAAAGAAATATTATTCAAGGTTATCAATTTATGTTGTTTGTCTTGCGCATAATAGATGCATTATTGCTAATAATATACATGATTAAACACAATATGACTAATACAATTTATTGACATTCAGAGAATATTATAAAAGTGCAACGAACGCGTAATGATTTGTTTGTTCACTGTTTATTTGATCTCTCAGTTTATATTTTATTTCACACTTTACAGTTAATTTATCTCGTTTAAAATTACTTAATTGTGTTTATTTTATTATATCATTAATTTAATCATTCGAAGATGAATGAAAAACAAACAACGTTATAAATAATACCGAAGACTTGACTAACTAAAATTACTCGTAAATTGCGAAAGTAATTACAAAGTCGAAAACTAATCAGTGCGATCCTTCCACTGGAATGAAACGATATTGTAATAATAAAGATTCGTTATTATCTTAAACACACCCAATAGCACTGCATCGATTTTATCACGTTCTGCTTGTATTTACCGGATGCATTATTTGAGAGTAGAAGTAGAATTTTATTTTCGAAACGGTTAATCATGTTGAAAAATATTTTAGTTAATTGTTTTAGTAATTTTAATTCGCAATTTAGTAAATTTAATTAAATAAAAGTTGAATAGTTTCAGGATGGGAATTAATTGATACAATTATTATTTTTAATAATGTTGATGCACAGAAGACAAGAAATGGTCAAGTTTGTCTTTCTGAAGTCGTGTATTTTTTTAATGAAATGAAATTGTATGTTTTTTAATACACTAATCGATTTAGCTCGTCATTGTCTATAAAATGTATGAAATCATCTCAATTAAAATAATTCGGCGTAATGCTTGTAGTTGATCGAGTTGAGCGTTAATGGTAACAAGGAATTGTGTAACGTTTATTAATTATTTGAATACTGTGTTCACTGTATTTATGAAAAATATTTTTTAATATCTGATCTACAATGCTTCACGCTTTAAAGTGAAACCAAGTGTATCGTTGCATCAGTTTGAATTATCGACAATTTTTCATTGTCATTGACACGATTATACTCTTACATATTGTCCAATTATTAAGTAAATAAGCATAAATATTATTCCAGTATAAAAATAAAAGTAACACTACATAAGTATAAAAATTATTTGTCCAATTATTAAGTAAATAAGTATAAATATTATTCCACTATAAAAGTAAAAGTAACACTACATAAGTATAAAAATTATTTGTCCAATCATTAAGTAAATAAGTATAGATATTATTCACTTGTCTGTATAGCAATTGAAATATAAAGTATCATCGTAAGTTACAATTGTATTTTTAATTTTAATTATTAAATTAAATTAATCGCAATTAATATAAATTTAATTTTAATCGTTGTACACATAAAATAGTGCATTGTGAGAGTGTTCATAAATTTTCAGTATTTGGGATTAGTAAATTATCATAGATAATATTTACGTATCCACTGCGTACTCACATCTACAATTCTCAGTCGTGTAAATCACGAATCCAACGTAAACACATTATCGTTACATCATTCTTCGTTATTGATTCAAGGAAATTCAAATGAGTACGCGTATGGTAAAATTTAATGACAGTAAATTACAATCTCCTCCGGAGCATTCATTTGAATTGCAGATCCAATAAAGAAATATCATTTACACTTCCTCGTTTTTCACACGATCCTCTTTTTGCAAAATTTAACCAATGATTTTTCTCCGCGAATAATTTAATTTTGTAGAAAATAATGAGCTGCACTAATTAATAATTATATGATTCCATTTTAGAATATAAATGCAAAAGTATCATTTATATTATTCTTTGTCTTTTGTAGAATAGTTCTTGCAAAATTTAATCAGTGGTTTCCCGACACAAATCTTTTGATATAAGTTTGCAGAAAATAATGACTTGTTAACCAATTAATCTGCCGATAATACGATTTAATTGTATAGCTTGATTTAAGAGACGAACAACATCAAATTATGACTTTCTCACTCTCTGAACGAGTAGTTCTCTAATAATTTTGTCAAACACACTCGTCAAATTTCATACGAAATACAGAAATTAGTGTCTGAACTGAAACTAGAATATTGGATTTTCTCAACGTACGAATAATCGTGTCCACACTTGATTGAAGACGGATTTATACTAACTCATTCATACTGCAGTCTTCTTATGAAACAATTCAACTTTTCCCACCTCTGCATTTTACTCCCACCTTCCGCCCTACTTTATTGCAGCTCGGCAATTCTTGAATTCTTTCTTGATTGTCAGTAACTTCTTATCTATCTTAGTCTTAGTTATCTTAATCTTAGTTATTTCAGTGATTTTTCTTTTCTTCTTTTCCTTCTTTCTCCTTTTTTTTTTTTTTTACAAATATTTTGCATAGTAATGAACTTTTGAAAAAGAAACTCTGTTTACGCAAATTCCATTTATTAACAGATCGACTAGTAGGTCAAAAAATATATTGTTCCATTAAAAAAAAAGAAAAAAAAAATGGAGATTCATTTCTTCATAGGATTTCTACGAGAAAACTATTATATTTTCGGAGTTATTTATTTTATACTTGGTCTCTATACTTTATCTAGCAGGCAGTTGGCGATCATTTGATTTGCGTTTATAGATATAAAACCGGAAAATTAAAAGATTAAGAACGGAATTATAGTATATATTATATTATATATAATTATAATATATATTATATTAAAAGCGGAATTCTATTGCATTCTATTTATTCTATATTTGATCGTCAGTTTTGAATGAATTTCAAGTGAATATCGTGTAAAATAGAATAATAAATCGTTGTCTGTTATCTTTTCGATTATCTTGCTTCAGTCGTATACGATTAATTGGGATCCAGATAATGATCATGAACATAGAAGTCCATATGATTGATTTTCTCAGTTTATAATGAAAGTTATTCATTTTGGTACAGACGATAACGATAAACGTTCTAAATAGTAATTATATCTAAATTTCTTCGTTTTAACCGGAAGCCTGAAGCTTGCAGTGCCGAAATCATTTCTGACTCATATGGATATTCCACTAATTACATATTTATCGCCCAAACGGCTCACCGATACTATAATAACACAGAGTGACGGTCCAAGATCCTCATTGATGTTGTACCAACACAGTGACAGACACCTGACTCATATAGAAACATGTAGAAGCATATAGGAACAAATAATAATCATATATTTGAATAATAAAGTTATATTTTTTTATATTTATACAATCGCTGTATCCTTGCTAGGTCCAAATACGTTGCCAATTACGTCCAAATTCCTGGTTTCCTGGAACTACATTATCCACAGTTTCTGATATATTGTCTTCTTGCATTTCGGATTCAGTGTCACTATTTGATACACTTGGTTGTTCACTGTTAGAAACGTCTTGTGCATGTTGAGCGAAAGAAGACAAAGAAATATTGCTTACAAACAACAAATAGAAAAGAATAATAAAAAGAAGAAAAATATTAATAATTGCTTCGATTTGCTGCACACATTTTTCCTCTTCGGAGCGTTTACCAGAAACTAATTTCTTTATCTTCTTCAGTTTTCGTCACTTCGGCACTTTGGCGGACACGTGATGGCCAGTTGGCGTTTGTACGTTAGTGCAATTAGGTTTGAGTTACTAAGCAACTTCCATCACTGTGATTGCATTCGAGTAGCTCTCAACACGGGTCAAAAATAACACATTAGAATTAATCGACTTCGAGAACTACACGTAATGCTAACGAGATACAGAATTTAAAACGCAATTAGTATCAAGGACAAATCAATTGACACAGTCTGGAAAATTGTATATGACAAATTAATTGTCACAGTCTGGAAAATTGTATATGACAAGAAAGAAACTAGATAAATCGCAGAAGAAACTGGCCGCAGTATGTAACTTTAGAAAAGATTTATAAAATAAAAATATATTTTAGTAATAATTAAAAATTAAATTAGTAATTAAATATTAAGTAATTAGTAATTAAATATTAAATAGTAATAATTAAAAATTAATAATATTATTAATAGTTTAAAGTAATGAAAATGAATTTTGTTAAAAAGATAAAATAAGTAAAATTTATTTCGCACCTGTTGTATCAGGGTTAATTAATTTATTTTAATAATTTTAATTATCTCGAAAGTAAATGATTTAAATATATATATATATATATATATATATATATATATATATATATATATATATATTATTTTTTTTGTAAAATAAAAAGAATAAATATATATTCAGGAATTAAATGTTTGTCGTATTTATTAATATCTAGTTTTTTTTAAAAATAAATTTAATTTATATATAATAAAAGATTTATAAGCATTGTTAAATTTTTCAACGCTCTCTTTGAGAGCTGAGATAATGAAGGAAGACATAAATATATAAATAGATACTTTCGTGGCTCAAATCATGACGTCAAAGAAATCAATTAATGACTCGTTAATAGATCGTACATAGATGTCATATCTCGATAAATTTACCTAATAACATTTCGTTATCATCAGTGTGACGTAATTAGTACGAATGAAAGCTTCTTTATTGTACTATGAACCTTTCTCCTATTGCTTACTCTAATTTTTATATTTTGACCACCTTTGGTCACCCAATTTATTTACATTACAAAAAACGCAACAGTCTACATTTATATTTAGTTTCGAGACCGATTTCGAGACATAAATTTCCATCGCATTACAGATTTTGCCAGTGAAAGAAAAATTGGTAAAAAGATAAACTTTCGATTGTTTCGAGCGAACGGAGAAACCACGTTAATCCTCTATTCTGGTCATTTTCAAGTTCAACGAGGTTGAAGGTGTCAAAATGAACATAAATGGATCGAACTTGTATGGAATCGGTGTTTCAGGACAAACGTCGATTTTGTAGTTGCGTAAGATCTTTATCAGTCCAATCTTCGTTTGATATACCGCGAAACGTGCACCTGCAATAAATTATTCAATATTAAGCATAACAAGTATAATGTAATTATATTAATTACATTATTATAATTATTACAATAGTATTATTATAATTATTTATCAATTAATTAAGTATAAAGTAGGCGAGAAATGATTTGCTAATGTTTTATTTGTGCATATAGTAGAGCCTCTTGTGCAGTTTTTATCCAATATCCGCGACACTATTATTCAAATGGATGGGCATTTTTATTATCTGAATTAATTGGGGATAATGTTCGAACAAGAAGATAGTATCTTTCATTATTACAAAAGAGATAGTGATCATTCATAAACAATCATTCATAAACAATTTTACGAGATTAATTAAATTTTAGTATTGTTGTCAAAGCCTCTTTTTTTTTATCAAAATTCTTGTATTTTGTTCCTTATTAAGGACCATTGGCACTTTACTTCATCATAGATTTAATATTTAGTCAATTTTTTTTGAATTTAATGCCATTCGAACGAAATTATTCGAATTTTAATTCCAACGTTTATTTTGATATTAATTTGTTATCTTTCATTTAAATAATTGTACAGTATGTAATTTGAAAATAAGCTTGTTTCTCTTGCGTCAAATAAACTCGAACGTTGAAATGCAAGTGTGAATGAATGCGAATGACAATTGTTAGCAAGGAGATGATTTTGTGAACCAGACAAGATTATTCAAAGAAAAAAGACGTTTCACCGCGAGTTTTTTTTTCTTTTTTTTTTTTTTTTTATTGCCAAACACGTACCGATACAATTCCTCGGTCCGTGTCCAAATGGCATATACTGCATAGGTTGGATCTTGTTGAACTTGTCCTCCGCAAATCGTTCGGGATCGTACTTCTCTGGATCCGGATAGATGTCCGGGTCTCTGTGAATGGCAAACACTGGTATCCAGAGCAACGTTCCTTTGGGAATTGTTACTTTGGTGTTCTCGAACGTGTAGTCTTCGATCGACATTCTGCTCAAAATTACCAGAGGTGGATACTTCCTCAGCGTCTCTGCAAATCGAACGATAATCGAACAAATCATTATATTGAAATTTGCACTAATTCTGCACACTCAAATACTCGCCGATGTCGCGAATTCCAGAATGTAATAATATGAAAATAATATAAATAATATAATATAATATAAAAAGCCAGTATAACGGAGATATCATGGTATTTGGCGGGTCATTCTAAATAAAAAAAAAAAAAAAAAATCATGTACATTATGCGTTTTGATTGGCTTATTTTCTATTCAGTTTTACACACCAATTCGACGTGTCGTTTCATTTTCTCTGAGAAAGCGTAGAACGCGTGTACGATACCTGAGTCGAAAATTATCTCTTAACTATGGCCGAGAAAAATTAAAATTATATTTTAACTATGGCATATTTAGACGGTCACTTACAGAACGCGAAGCATCGTGACGTTCTCACCTTGGAACACTTTGTGCAAGTATTTCATTTCCTTCATCGTTTCGTACTTCCACTCCCCGCCATTTTCCACCTCGAACTGCTTGATTTCTTCTCGCAACTTCTTCTGAATGTCCTGATTCAAAGCCAGCTCGTAAAGAGTGTTGCTAATCGTCGTCGAGGAGGTCTCGAAGCCAGCCGCGAAGAAAATGAATGCTTGCGCGGCTAATAACTCGTGCGTTAATTCTATAATAGAAAAAAAAATTGTTATTAATAATTGTTACATTATATCGATATATTATATATACGTTTGAACATTATTCAAGAAATTGTAATAAGTTTCGTCTCAGTTTTAGGAAAATCTTAACACTACAACTACCAGAATCGTCGAAACGACCAATTTTTAATTTAAGTGATCGATTTTTTTTTTACGGATAAAAATTATGACACTTTTAAGAATCTAAATGATCTCTCGTAGAGTAAGAGCTTATAGAATTTCCCTGTTTTCTTTATTTTAATGTCTCCAATGGAAATTTTATGCTTCAAATTGTTGGTAATTCTAGTGTTAGTATTTTCAATTTTCAAAAATTTTCAATTTCCAAGACCACGGTGAGGCAAGTCGTGAAAAGAAACCTCCCGTTTTCGAGAATTCGTGAGGATGTCCTTGAAAGAAAAACGAAGTTAGTAGAATTAGAAGCTTTACACTTTGAAATGACACCAAGTATACCGTATGATTTTCTTCTACGAAGTTACAACAGCTTAAGTGACAAGACAATTTTTCAATCGTCGGTGTTCGGTTCACGCTCGTTGCTGCAAACACGTTGTAAAATCCATAAATGAAGCGTGGTGGCACTAACCGATGTCTACCTTCTCGGGATGCTTTTTCAGATCCATCAGGATGTTCATGAAGTCAGGCCTGAAGACGTTGTTTTTCTCCCTGTACTCCAACGTTTCTCTGGTGATCTTTATGAACAGTTCCGTTGGCTTGTCCCACGGCAGAAGGTGAACGAGAAGCGCGTGCAACCGCGGCTCGATTTCGTGGAGTTTGGTTTTCAGCACCCTGTAGAGGCTGTTGGAGAAAATCTCTTTGCCAACTTGTCGAAATTCGCTTTCCTGTGCCGAGAGGCTGTTCATTTCGATTCCAAAGCCACAGCTTCCTACCACGTCGGTGGTGAATCTGGCGGCGAGCTCTCTCGCGTCGATCGGCTCCCCTTTTTCGACCATCGTGGCGAGATACGCCTCGAGGTGATCGGAACACTCCAGAATCAGCTGGAACATTTCTTTGAGCTTGCCGGAGGTGAACACCGGGGATAAACGAGTCCTCAGCGGTCGCCATCTCTTTCCTTCCAGTCCGAACAGATTGTTAGACATCGGATCTGCCTGTGATCGTTAAAAGAAAAAAACATCGCTGTCATTAGGTTTTGTCGCTGGTTAGCTGAGATTGAAGGCCATGGGCACGAGACAAAGTTGTTTGAGCGAACGACACACAGTGTTCATCGAGATTCGATAAGACGGATTTATAATCCATAATTCTCGTAATTACGAATTTAATTCTCAAATGAAAATTAATAAACCGGCGGAACTCTGAATATTCTTCCAACCTTTACGTGTAGAATTTTCCCGATTCTGACCTCCGTTCGTTAAAATTTGGAGGACGTGGAGCAAAATGCACAGGCTTTTTTTGTTTTCTTACTGGCTCACTCTTCAGGAATCCTCGATCCACGAACTTGGAGAAGTCTTTGATCAAGATGTCCTTGATGAAGTCAGGATCCTTGACAAATAGGACAGGCATTGTTCTTAAAAATACCCCTATCAGAGGCTCGCTCTTGTGACCATTGTAGACTCTCGAGACGAAATCTGGAAGCGATTCCTTTCCAAACATTCCCTTCAGAATGTTACCGAAACCAAGTACCGGCTCTGGTCCAGGCACTCCGTGCCTCTTCCAGAAACCGTAACGTGTCGTTAGATAACAATAGAGCGTGAACAGCGTTATCACGACTCCCCACAGTATTTCCAAGTTGTTGAACATTTTCTTCTGAAACAGTTTCCGAAATACGCGGCGAAAAAGGAAGCATTAATTCTCACAAATTCTTCGAGCAACAAAACTTTTGGTTTTCACTCAATTGAACGAATGTCTGACTATTTCCCATTCCTATTTTGTTCTATTTCATTTTTCACTTCTTGCAGTATTAAATTCTTTTCTACTTAAATTAAATTTATTTAAAGTTATTCACTAAATTATACATTTTCGATTATTTAATTGTTCCTCAGCAAGCAGTGAATTAATGGTATTTTACTTCTTTACTGTTTACATCATGCAAATTTTATTTCTTTCTATTGAATCGTCTTTCATTTAAGTTGATTAAGTTAATTAATCGCTGTTTAATTAATTTCTTTTATTTCCTATGCCAGCAAATGTGTTTTTATTGGACGAAATTTTGTTGCTATTAAATTAATGTAACGTCTCATTCTCAATTGCTCGATTGTTACTTTACTTTCGATGAGTGGTACAAATTACTTTTGACACTTTACTCTTTATTTTATCGTTAAATTTTCATCTCTTTTCATTAAGTTAGATCTTTTATTATTAAATTAATTAACTTCTACCCTTAATTTTCTATGTTTGTTACATTTATTTTCGCTGAATTAAAATTGATTTCTATATTTTCTTAAATTAAATTTACCTTAATTAAGCTATGCTTCTTTGAATTAGATTCTGTCTGTAGAACATCAAGGATTCTCTGTTTTTTTTTATCTAATCAGCACTTTGCTGATACCTTAACTGAAACAATAATAAAATGATTGTTCTCTATATAAAATATGGACACCTTACATAAGTACACTTTAAACTGATTTTGCTGTCATATCACTTATTATTCATCTACTTTGTCGAAGAAATTATTATTGGACTGTCGACAATGTTTCTTTCGAATATTTTTAATATATTAGCTAATAGTAGGGCGAATGAATAACATATCATCGCATTATCACGAGAATATTGTAGAAGCACTCTAATTTTGATAATTTTATTTATCTTCGTAATCTGAGAGCAATTGTGCCTTTTTTATTATCTGAAATTGTGCTTTTATTTTCAAGTGAGCGAAAATAAAACTAAGGCTGCATTATCTTGACTTACGTAATTTATGTGTTTAACAATTCAGTCCAATTACATTCAAACAGTGTTTTCCACTTGCATGTTATCTTATCTCCGTCAACAATGTGTGACACAATGCACTATTGGTTACTGTATTTATTCAGTATTATTTTGATAATAGTATTAATTTAAAGAAATGTTTTTAACTTAAAAATTTAGTATTAATATTTCAATTATTTTACGCGTATCTAGTTTCAATACTTTATTATATATGAATTCTTATAGATTTTCTGATCATGCATCGAATTAATCGAGACACAAACTCGTTCGAATAATCAGACAATCGTATATACGTAATACAAAAGCGTTTGAACCTCTACAGTCATATATTTTATTTATATTTCATTCAATAGCTTTCTCTTCAATTATATTTTTAATATTTTGTTTTCGTGAGATCCAGTTTGTGTGTCGTCATTTTGTGCTATTTTCAAACCTCTACTGCATCGAAAATTTTCATGCAGTAGAAGGTTTCACTGTCTCGGTTTTTCTTTTGAAATCTTATCTTGCAGATTTTCTTTTGTCGTTAGACAAAAGCCCTTCTTATCCCTTTTAGACTTAATTAATTTCAGCTATTTTTCTACTTTTTTTTTCTAAAACTCATGATATGAATAAAATAAAAGTTGTCCTCAGCCTGAATTTAAATAATTGGTCATTCGGATAATTATCATAGTGCATGCAGTGAGAGATATGTTGATTTTCTATATATACTAAAGTACTCTGGACAAGGAAATTACTATTTATATAAGAAACATTTCTTCTCAGGTTGCAGAATCAATTTGCATTTATTTTATGGTTTAATATTTAAACAAATTATATAATAATGTATATTATATATATAATAATCATAATAATTAATTTATATATAATATATAATTTATAATAATATATAATTTAATCAAATTTTATAGTCAGAATATAATTAACCTTTCGTATTATAGCTGAGCGTTATTTTTTTTGACAAATATTTATATTTATGATGAAAGTCTCTACAAAATGAAGGAAGTATTTTTCTGTGTTCTTCCAAGAAAATTATATCGATTCTAATTCACAAAATTTTCCGACATCCTTTGTTTTTGTCTTGTCAATTTTTTGTTAGAGTGAGAAGCTTGTCGCTAGCGTCAAAATTTAAACAAAATTTCAAGAAAATGGTATAAATTTCATTTTAAATATGTAAATTTAGAAAGATATTGTTCTTGATTCATTCATACGTTTTCTCGAACGCTGTTAATACTTCAATATTTGTCCGATGAATTAAGATCCATAAAGTATACGAAATCCTTCATTTCGACTAATTAAAATTTAACAAATACAAGACCGTATTCTACAAACCTTAAAAAAAAGTCTGTCGCTTTAGTTAGAGAACAAAATCCAATACCTTGAAGTTGAAAGAATTCTGTGTCACGTTTGACAACGTTCGGGTACGTACTGTTCCCGACGTTAAAATTAGAAGCTTAATACACTATGAATTTGATGAGTCACGGTGATAAGCAACAAGCTCTAAAACTATATTTTTTCGTATTAACGACTGGACAAACTGTCGTAATTATAGAGTACTGCTAGTAAAAATTAAAAAATGTAGTCAGAGAGATGATAATACTTTTTGTTTCTTTTTTTTTCGTTATTTAAAAGTCGCGTCAACTCTACTCTTATTAACGACTCAGGTAATTGTAGTCTCTTGTAGACTCTTGTTAGTTTTAGGTATTGTAAAAGGTTCTTAACTGTGTTGTCCATTAGGTTGTCATTCAGGGTGGATTTTATGTTGCACTCTAGACGTTTTTCAGTATATTTTCTGCAATCCAGAACAATGTAGTCCACCACTTTGTATAGTTCGCAGGTTGGAGGTTCTTCCTTGTGGAGGAGATGTTAGTGGATGAGTTTTGTGTGTCTTATTATGATTCTTGAGGTGATGACTTGGTCGTGTCTTGGTAGGGTGCAGGCGATGCTCTCTTCTTGAAGAAGTAGTTCTTGACTATTTTCTGTCGTGGTTCGGATGAGGATTTCCAGTTTTTATTCCAGTTTTCGTTTATTTTCTTAGAGTGTGGTTTCTTCTGGTAGGCTATTGTTGTAGTGGTTGGAGTTTGATGAGTTTGCAGCTTCATTAGCCAATTTGTCCGCTCTTTCGTTCCAAACATTGCCAATATGGGCGGGGACCCAGGTTACAGTGACTGTGTTGTTTCTATTTGTCGATTTGATAAGTAAAGCTCTTGGCATTTTTGGATGACTGGGTCATTTGTCCACGAATGAAATTATCCACATCAATTCACCTGGTCTCATTTTAAATGGCGACTCTCTTTTATTGAACTTTGAATATTAGGATTGAACGACGAACTGTTTGGATTTCTTCAATTTCTGTCGTACAATGCTAGAATTGTGTTATAATAATAAATTATATATTACATTGTTATAGTACAATATGTATTATAATTATATATTATTATAATTATATTATATAATTGTATATTATTATAATTATAACATATGCATGATATAATGTAGTATTATAATTATATTGAATAATAAATTATTTCATTACTATTACTATTTTCTAAAACCTTTTATTTACATTTATAACTATCTTTAATATTCGTATGTGTATGTATCAATATTATTTTTATAAAGAAACAGAAAACGCGCCAGGTTAAAGACGTACAATTTAACCGCTCACGCTTTAAAATAAATTATATTATTATATAACCTTTAAGTACATAAAGTCATATCAGTTGAAACATATCCACAATTTACGTCGTTTAGCTGGTGCCTCGACTCGTTGAATCGACTATATATAATTATGTATCTTTATATAATAACCAGTGGAAACAATTTGTGATGCAACACTTACATCGTTCCTAGAAACGCATACATTGCATCGGTGAAAATATGTTTGATGTACGTACATAATGTTGAACGCAACAGATGAAATTCAATCACTAATTCAAATCGGTAAAACTGACAAAATCCCAATCACAATTCTAATTCGACAAATATTTTTAGATTAATGTCTATAGTAATAGTAAATATTAATTATTATAATATTAAATATTAAATAATTAACTATTGTAATAACTATTAATTACTAATTATTGTTAAAATATTAAACATTATCTATAGTAACAGTAAATATTATTTAATAGCATTTTCTACTAGAATTATTAAATGCTTATTTTCTAATATCTACTAGATACCCCTAAACAAAAAATTATGGTTTTTATTGCAATATAAACAAATGATTAATACCTTAAATATATATTTACTAAATATATATATTAATTTTTAATATATAGATATTTACTAAATATATTTATTAATATTATATATTTATTAAATCATATATATATATATATATATATATATATATATATATATACTGAATTAAATTCAGTTCTTTAACAGCCTAATGCAACCACCCAATGCAAGACGATCGAAAACGAACTGATCTTCTGTTACTGATTGCATGAAATTATAAATACTTAGATAGCCTAAAACTAGACACAATCGAATCAATCTGCTGATAGCTATCTTTGATAACCAGACCTTTGTTCAGACTTTGTTTGATAAATATAATATAAATATAATAAATTTAATATATAATTAATTCTATCTGAACATTAAAACTATACGATGTGATAAAAGAGAAATTGTGATAAAAAATTGCGACTCTCGCGATGAATATAATAAATAAAAATCCCATTTTTATCAACTTCTTGATTTTCTTGCCTTAATCCAGAACAAAAAATGTAAGCATACTTCCTCGATTTTTCCGCATCATACATTTGCTATTCTCTTTCTTTACGTAAGAAGTAAATTACTTCTAAGAATTCTTGTAACACAAGTGTCGATAACAAAAAAACACAAGCGATTATCTCTATTATTATGACAATTTCAAATTGCCAGTCTAGTGAGTTTAAAACTCGTTTACTTTTTACATGTAGAAAATTTATAGTACAAACATGCAATTTACAATAAGATAAGATGCATACCAATTATAGATTAAATTTATATGATGCAAATTATAATAATACATAAGAATATAATAATGGATTAATTTTTTAACTATATTATGTTAAATAAATGATTAAATTTATATGTTGCAAGTTAAACTTAATTAATTTTTAATTTACACATTTAGGAAGGCATAATATTTTGAGATTTGTTCATCAAATACAAGTCTATTCAAAAATAATGAAAACGCGAGATCACGTTAATTTTTGTTAAATCTTCCAGCAATCCTCCTCTTCATTGACCGATTAAAAGTACAAATTTCTAAAATTTTATTTCTGGAAACTCGGATATTATATCTTGACATTATACTAATAAAATTCTGACATTATTCTGATGCTATACATTGGTGATCGGTCACTATTCGAAGTAAACTTTTAATAAAAAAAAATATTATCTAATCTTTTTTTCTTACTATTTTCATATGCATTAATATCCTTGATTAATGCTATCAATTGATTGAGCTTTCCTTTCAGTCAATAATTAAATTACAATTTAGCCCACTCGATCGATCAATACTTCGATATTCCCAAGTAGGATTTGAGTTAAAAATAACTGTTTAATCTTCCTGTTTATGCAATTAATTCAGATGTCAGTGTTATTTTTAAAATTCCTGGAAATTGATAAATAGAATTTGAGTTTTTGGAATAAGGCAGTTTGAAGAGATAATCATAAATAAATATTTATATTAAACGGTAATCCTTTTAAATTTTATGTTCCATTTAAATTGTATGTGCCATTAGTGAATCAAATCGTTAAGCATATAATAAACTTTATAATGAAAATAAATAAATAAATTGAAAAATATATTAATGAACAAGGTAAATTTCTAATTCTTTTAATATTCTTTAATAAAAAGTTCGTTTTATCACTTAAACCAGAAATCAATTGAAAAGTTATAATACAGTTGTTGTCGCTTTTTTAGAGAAAGAAAATTAAAAATATTTTATTATTTATATATTAAAAACATTATAATAGGCAGAAATAGGCTAAAATTGGGAAAAGCCGCTGAATTAGAAATTTATCATGAACAATAATTATTCATACATATAGATTAGTTTCAAAGTCATTAATCAGCAGAATATATATTCGATAGTACTATACATATGTGATAGAGTACTATAGTAAATGTATGCGTAGGTAATATGCACTAATAGATACAGATGCATGTGTCACAATAGTGTATCGAGTAGATAGTGCGTTTGACGAAGTTTCTTTGTGCAGTATGAATTAATTCTTCATTAATAAGGTGCTTTATATACACATAAATTTTTTATACAACATAATTTATTATTAAAGTTATTTATTTAATGAAAATACATGTACATTATATCATTACGCTTTTAATTTAGATTGTAATGTAAAATCGGAGGTTATGTGTATATTCTTTAAGTGAACTTGAAAATCTCGAAATATTATATCATTCTTCATCAATACACTTTATATGACATAATTTATTATGAAACAATTATTTATTTAATGATAATATACGTACATTATATTATCACGCTCACATAAGATTAGAGGTTATGTGCGTAGGCTTTGTTTATGTGAACTTGAATGAAAATCTCGAAATATTGCGAATATTAAGGAATAAATCTTACTATGTACTATTGTAAATTATCATTACGAGTTATTAGATAACACTTTTTTGTATTTAAAAAAAAAAGACTGCATTAATAAATTGATACGTCATGATACGTAAAATTTATTATAAAATGGAAAACGCATGTTAGGGATATGAATATTGGACACGTAGCAAACATTTCAAAGAAAATGAATAACAAATAGATAACATATTTAAAATATTCGTGCAGAATAACTTTTGTTACACCTCTGGTGGTTATATTGACGATGAATGTTATTTTAAACGTGATTCACCAATTTTATTCATTCGCGAAATCATATTTATTTATAAGTGACATATGAACTTTCGTAATCGGTCAGAAAGTTAATGACTGATATTGAAGTGACAATTGTTTTTGGAAGTTTTCAATTGTGCACCTGTTAATACTTTCATACCGTTTATCTTAAAATTTTTTTGTCTTTTTTTTCTTTCTGTACTGCTTTTTATGTGTGGCAAAACGTACTTGGAAGGTGTTCAAATTTTTCATCCGTAAAAAACGTAAACAACATATGCAGTTAAAAAATTATAGATAAAACTATATATTTCATAGGTTACAGGTTATCAAATTTTGTATTTCTGTGCTCTTGTTCGATTTCTACTCAATTAATGTCTCTCATTCAAAGACAGTGTTGTGTAAATCATTAATTACATATTAAGAACATCACAGGTAATATTGTATTTTATAAATTAATATTAATGTTTTATTGATTCACATCTGTATATATGGCCATTTTGATAAAAAGAGGTAAAGCATATATTTTGGAGAAAGCATTCGTTCATATCAGTTGTTACATTTCATCTGTAAAAGGAAAACACAGATTAAGATTAACTTCTTATTAAATTGGGCAATGGCTCTTGGTATTTTACAGTTTGCCTCCAGGAATTCAATCAAGTATCCATTAGTTTCCAAGATGTCTACATCTATGTCAGTTGACGAACGTATGTTAAAAGGAATAAGAAGAATAATTCCAAATTTGAATAATACCAAGTACAAAGGTCAAGATGGTCGAATTGGGATATTTGGCGGTAGTACTGAATATACTGGTGCACCATATTATGCAGCAATGAGTGCACTCCGCACTGGATGTGACCTAGTTCATATATTTTGCGTGAAAGAAGCAAGCGTACCATTGAAATCATTCAGCCCAGAGCCTATTGTTCATCCAGTTTTAGACCAGTATGATGCAATCAAGCAAATAAGACCATGGCTTGATCGTTTACATGTGATTGTGATTGGGCCAGGTCTTGGAAGAGACGATAAGATATTTAAAACCATTGTTGAATTAATTTCAATTTGTCGTGACATGAAAAAGCCACTAGTGATCGATGCTGATGGATTATTTTTAATTAACCAGAAGCCTGATATCATAAAAGAATATCCAGGTGTTGTTCTTACTCCAAATGCGATGGAATTCAGTCGTCTTGTGAAAGCAGTATTTGACAAAAATGTCCCACCAACGCCAACGGTTAAAGCCAATGATGTTAAGCATTTAGCAGATACGTTTGGGAAAAATGTAGTTATTTTGCACAAAGGAGCTAAAGATGTAATTGCAGATGGGCACAAAGGTACAGAAGCTGTATCGTGTGGATTAGCAGGTTCTGGAAGAAGATGCGGGGGTCAAGGGGATTTGCTAAGTGGAGCGTTAGCTGTATTTTGGTGGTGGGCTATCTGTGCAGGAAGTAGTGAAAGTGCTTTATCACCTCCGATAGCTGCATGTTACGCTGCATCTAGATTAGTGAGAGAATGCAATGCGTCTGCATATAAGATAAAGCAAAGAGGAATGCTAACGTGTGATATTCTAGAGCAAATACAACCTGTCTTTGCCAGAATTTTTGAAACACATTGCAACAAGTGAGCTGCTGATGCGAAATATTTTTATATAAAATATGTTAATTTTGTTTAACAAGATGTTTATGTATATATTGGGTAGATTAGTTAGGGATAGCCGATAAATGTGTTGATATTGGTTATAGAACATCATCATTCAATGGGAGAAGTCGAACACGAAGCACTGATTCCTGAATTATATCTATAATAATTTTAATCTTTCATTGTACCAACGTTTAATAGGATACATTTCTGAACATATTAAATTATGGAACAATAAAGTTATATCGAGGGTTGTACCATTAAAAAGGGGAACTAAATTCAGGAATTTAAAAATTACAATAAGTCTACTATAACTAATGATAGATTTTTTTTTTTAATGTCATTGACTGCATTATAAAATAAATAAAATATTTTGTAAGTTTTCGTAGACTTAATTTTACTAATTCTCTTTTTCTTTTGTTTGGATTATTTTCATATTTACAAATGATGCATTTTAGTAATGTCTTGCTGTGAGAACTTTCTTTCTACAATGAAGTAATTCAATTTCTTGTTACGTTCATAACAAGTATTGAAAATTATTTACATTATATTACTATGGATTAATTATTGTATGTTAAAGTAAAATAATGTAAATAATTTATAAATCGCAGAAATTAACTAATTAATCCAATTTTTAATTTAAAACAGTTCACAATTAAGTTTTCTTCACGCGCGACTAAAAATTACTTGAACATAAAAAGAATATTTCTTAATCGACCATCAGTAATAATAACAATTAAGTACTTTTACTTCTATTTGCAATAAAAAATACTTTACTTTCATTTATAATAAACAATTGTTATTTCTTACTAAGTACTTACTAAGTTCCGTGTAAAGTCAGAATTTCAGTAATAAAAATCCCTTTAAGTACAGAGCTCTGTAAACGAGAAAACTCATTACTGATGAGAGGAGTAAGAAATATCTCTTTTTCGTTGCCTCAGTTTAATACTATACATTTATATATCAGTTAGAAAAACGTTAATATATTAAATATACCGTATTATTATTAAATTATTTGATTATAGGTCATTCGAGAAGTCCGTCGTATTTAATCAAAAATTAATTTCTACTCGTCTCTCTCTATTGTACTATGTACTTCACTGGTACTTTGCTCAGAATTATGCCTAATATTAACGCATATAAAAATCATTCGCTGCTAACTAAATAAAAAATTTCCACTCTTGAATGGCGCGATATCTCAGAAGAACAGTTGCAACTGTAGATTTTTTTCGCTAGCATGCCCTAAAATCCTACAAATATCAAAGTTTACGAAACCATCGTTCATTGACAGCTCCCTTTTTATACTGTTGTCTTTCATTTCTACGCTAAAAGTAATCTTGTCAGTAAGTACCACCGGGGCTCGACGTTTCATGAATACTGTATAAAAAAAAAAAAAAAAAACGAAAACAGATCGCAGTATCTACACGATTTTTGGCATGAATATACCGAATACTGTCTGTCCGCATCAGGAGATGTCTTTCGCTAACTAATGTAGACTCGCGATGCTTGTTCAACGTAAATTATTCATCTAACCCGTAAAATTATCGTCGTCGTTCGAGTCGTCGGTGAAACTACGAGTAAAACGTTAACACCGAAGTGTGGTTCCCGCGTATCAAAAGCGTCGGCGGCATGTCTTTGGTTAAAGCTTCCAACCAGGCCATGTAAAGCGGGGCTGAGACCGCTCCCTTCCTCGGCATTGGCAACGACCTGCGATTCACAAAAGATCATTTTGCAAGGAATCACATTCGTTTATATTACGTTAGGGTCGCCCATTTTATATAGTCACGTACATCACAACCAACGTGGATTGATTGGAGTTTTCTAATAACAGTTCCCGCAGTCTGAGCTGCCGGTACGTCTTGTCTTTCAAAGACTGAAGTTCCAGTTCCGTCACGCAGCATTCTACAATGAAATTATCATTTCAATTAGCCGTCGTCGATAATTAATTCGAGTGCTTCCGTATTATCATGTGATACGATCTCTTCCTTTTTTTCATTTTTTAATCAAACGTGCACTTAACCTGTGTCAGCAGGCTCGTTTCTCCGAAAATCAGATATAAGTTTATCGAAGAAATCCAGCGTCTCTTGCTTCGGCTGAACGCTTATGTCGTCTACCATCTTCAGACTGGTATATCTTATCCTGAATTTTGCCATTATCTCGGCCATTCTGGAAATTGTCGATTGCGTGTAGTTGATTGATCGTCGCACGGATTATTTTTAATTAGAGGCATTTTCAAGCATGGAGTTTGATATTTGAAGATAGTAAAATAAAAGGAAGATTTGTTGAACGTAAGCCTCTAAATCACACGTCTCATAAATTATTTGTGCTTAACTTACTCTTTTTCTTGTGCCACGATATCCTGTTTGTGATTGGCCAACGCGAAAATTCGCATCTTACAGTGCTCCCAATACGAGCGTGTGCTGATAATATATGGAAGAAGGATCGTCAGACCTGTTGAAGAAAAATGTCTGCCACTTAAAAATGAGTACATCCTTCTCGATTAAATAATCGTTAGGTCATGGATTTTTGTGGATTTGTAGAAAATTGAAAATTGCAAAAATACGCACATTAGGTAGAAAATTTGAAGCTGCGAAAATACGCACAATATAAAATATCCAGAGTAGAATGTTTGCTATAATGTACAGCAGATAAAACAATTTTCTGTTTAGCTCTTGTTTTTTTTTTTTTTTGTTTTGTTTTAATTATGCTCGTAAGAATTTAAAAATATATGAAAATTCGCAGTCGTAAAAATAAAATTTCAACGATAACAGATAAACGTAGTATTTTTAACACGACTGTGAAATATTTGCTCTTCAAACACTGAATATTAAATATTTGCTATTAAATTAAATATTTGATGAATTTACAGTTCGCTTCAGAATTGTTACATTTAATTTGTTGATTAAATCATTGTGTAAAAGATATCTGGAAGTAGTAAGATAAATAGTACAAGTAACAGATAAATTGATTAAATAAACGCGAATTAATTTAGACAAGTATGTTAGTTAAATATACCAATTGTATGATAAATATCTGAGTTAATTGCAGACATTAAGTAGAGTAAACATTTTATGAATTACCTCCATCATCATACAACCACCATACATCAATTGTGCCATTTTTATGCTTCCTTTGGAAGATTGCTAAGCGTTCAGGTACAGGTGTCATTGCATGCCGCTTTTCCCTAGATTATTAAAGTATATTTATTAGTTATTCTTGGAAATGTTGACATTATTAATAATATTAATATTTAATTATTTAAAATTTGGAAACTAATAATTGTTTTATATTTTATTTTTCTAATATTATGCTGATGAAGTACAACAGCGTAATTCCACGGAAATTGGCCTTATTTTTTTTTGGAATACATTTAAATAAATTGAAAGAATTGTTACATAAAAAATTGATTTTTACTCAATTACAAGACAATCGACGAAAAATTTGATTTACAAATGAAGAAAAACATAATATTGCCATCCATCGGATTAATTTAATTGGCCATCTCCTCTGGAATTAGCCTATAGAAAATAAAATTACAAATAAAAATTAAAATCAGAATAAAATTTTCCGAATGTCGACACGTAACTCTCAAGTCGTATAATACTACGAAGGCTTTTAAAATTTTTAATAGCCTATTAAAACCTTAACGTAGTACACGATCTGAATTCTGAACTCACATTAACTTTTCTATCGCGTGCTTCCGTTTGTGCTTCAAATGATCGCGGGCACTTCCGTGAGTAGGCGAATCCCGAATGATTTGTGGACCATCCACCGGCACGAATTGAGTTCCTGAAACAGAATTGCGAATCGACCGGATACAACGAATCTCAAATCGATCGAGATTTTCATGTTAGGAAATAAGATGACGATGAAAAAAATAAAGGAGGAAGAACTTCCCTAACAAACCATATGCACAAAATTATAGATACCCATTGTCGGCACGCTTTGAACTCTTGGAATTTGGCTGGACATGGACAGATTGCTGTCCACGTGCATCAGAGTGTTCACTGTTAGGTCGTAGCTACTTTGCGCCAAGACGCCATGTTCGTCGTCCCCGTTCGCGGTCGCAACTTCACAACAATCCAAGCCCTCCGCAATTCGTAACATTGCCACCGCTAATTTCTGATCGAACGCGTTGCTGCGAAAAGGGATGAAAAGTTTTCTTCGTTCCAGTTTGCCACGATCAACGATAACTTGAACTTACTGAAGGACGTTGAAGTATTCTTGAAGGTCCTTGTGGTTGCACGTTGACCAGTGTGTTTTGTAGCCCATTAGAACGACGTTCGGTGCCAGTTTCCCGACACCTGTTGCCTGCATCAACGCCGACGCACCTCGTTCGAAGTTCAAGTCCTCCACCACGTGGTAGAACGACTTAATACGTTGCTGGTGTAACCACGCGTAACCATTTCTCAGCCGCATCGATCGTAAACGATACGACAAACGAGTCTGGAGAAACGTAAAACTTTGAATCATCGAAAGGTTCAAATTGGATTCACGATGCTGTTACGAGAGTGTGGAAGAAAAAAAAAAAAAATCGGTTAGTGGCACAGAATTCGATGGAAAATTCAAATCGAAAGTGTTATTATGAATGTGAGAGAGGAAGAGATTGGAGAAATTGTGAGTGATCGAAATAGAAAAATGGGATTGGATTCGGTACAAATGCGTTTAACATACTACGCAGGTGACAACAAAGATAATAAACAGCTAATTGAAAAAATGTGGTTGAAGTAAATAATTGAAAACGCGAGTTAAAGTGAACATGGAGATTGGCAGTCGATGACTGTTTGATTGAAAATGCGATTAAAGGTTAGGAACATGCAATTCTATGAAAGATCGAATCGAGGTGCGAGTGTGCATTCACGATGCTGTTATAAAAAACAAAGAGGAAGAGGAAAAACGAAATAGCTGGAAACGTAGAATTATCAGTGAAGATCAAAAGACAGGCGTGTAAATCTGTTTATTTAAACTGTGTACCGGGTATATTTCGCCGGAAATCAACAGCGAGTGGTTTTTCGTGATGAGATTTGCCAGATGCAGCAACGCTGGCCTGGCGCCAGGGGCTCCGCTCAGTGCCAAAATTTGAGGTGCATAATTTTTGACATGTTCGTCGATGGAATTCAATCTGCAACGATTTAACTCGATTACGATCGAATAGAAATAGAAACGTGTCTCGAGCCGCGGAAAACAGAAAATTAGAGAGTGACAAGGAAATGTGACGAAACGATGGCACTTTTGATCTGTATACTGCTGATATTTATATCGGCAAATTCATATTTCTACGAACACTTTTGAAGAAATGGGAACTGAGGGAAAATCTGTTTTATCTGACAAGTATTTTTCATACTACGCGCAATCTGTTTATTTTTGCATCCTTAATACCATTATAGTTTATATTATAGTATAATTATAATTAATACCTAAATATAGTTAATACTTATTAATATAATTATACTATAATTATACTATATATAATGGTATTAATTATAATTAATACTACATTATAGTTAATACTATAATTATAATATTAATTATAATTATACTATAATTATACTATATATAATGGTATTAATTATAATTGATACTACATTATAGTTAATACTATAATTATACTATATATAATGGTATTAATTATAATTGATACTACATTATAATTAATACTATAATTATACTACATATAATGGTATTAATTACAATTAATACTACATTATAGTTAATACTATAATTATACTATATATAATGGTATTAATTATAATTAATACCATTATTGATATTATAGTATAATTATAATTAATATCATTATAGTTTATATTATAGTATAATTATAATTAATACCATTATAATTGATATTATAGTATAATTATAGTTAATAACATTATAGGAAATATTTTGTATATGAAAGTTTATATTCCTTGCTGTACGACGAACTTCTTTTTTTTATTTCTCGTTCCTGAAGTGTTTCATAGAAAATTTATCACTGTATATTTGATCAGAGATATCAGTCTTTGGATTTCAGATTATCATTCTGTCAGATATTCGTGATTTTCTATTTTCTTGCGCTTGAATTTCCCTGGTGTCATTTCCTATAAATATCTCCAAGAAAGACCGGTAAATTTATTAATCCAAATGCAAAATAGCGACGTTTGCGTTTTTTTGAGCAACCCGAGAAAATTGTAAAAAGATTACAGTGATATATCCTCACCGATAAACGATAGAAAGCGCAGTCTTGTACGTCTGTGCCTGCGTGCTGCTACCCCAGTTCACGTCTGGTTTCCGATACACCACGATCAAGTACAACGCGAAGATAATGACGAACGTGACGAGCGAAGTCACCCAGTCGATGAGGAACATTATCGACACGCACGTGATGAAACCGGACAAAGACAGCCAGGTGTTGTAATACTGTAGAGCAGAAAGAATTTCCCTCCTCAGTTGTCATCGTCGCTGGTTTGCGATTGAGCGTGTGTGCACACTTGGGGAAATATTATTTTTAATACGAGATTGCACTCACTCGGAAAGTAGGTCGCCACCCGAGAGGGCGAATAAGCGCCGCGTGAAACGTGCAGAAGTTAATCAACGCGTACGATGCTAAATAAAAGTTGGAGATCAGAGGCGCGACTGCGTTCAAGTTCGCTGGAAAATAACAGGCGTGGTTCAGTGAGTTTTTTTTTTTTTTTTTTGCTCGATGCTTGCAACAAAACTGTTGTTCGATTTCTCGCTCGTACGTACCTATAAGAAGGAACAGCACCGCGACGAAGAACGTGAGAACGTAGCCGCGATAAGGTTCACCGTGTTTCCCGTAACCTTTGCTAAAGTAAATCAGACCGGGGTAAATTCTGTCTCGTCCCAGCGCTTGTATCAGCCGCGGCACCGACAGCAAGTTCGTCAACGCTGTCGAGAGGGTTGCCGCGAAACAGCCGGCGTAGATGAACGGGCCCCACACCGACATAAGCTGCATGACCTGAAAATGAAAAAGGAAAGAAAAAATGCAATTTATCGCGAACAATTCATCGTTTCGATCTTTGGATGTTTTTGACTTCTACGAACATTTCTTTTGGTTTGAATCATTAATAACGTAAACCCATCTTTTTTTTTTTTTTTTTTTTTTTTTTTTTTTTTCTCTTTTTTTTTTTTTTTTTTTTTTTTTTTGTTCATCCCTATTTCCTTTTCTTCGTTTATTTATATATTTTTTTTTATTTAAGATCTTTTGATTGATGAACTATTGTTTACGTCGCGCTTGATTACGATTCTTCGTAATTAGAACAATTGGATTTTATTTTTGTTCTTTGGTGCACATTGGTGTACATTTCCGCTTCAGCAAATTAAGATTTTCTCTCGAAGGAAGTAATAGCTTCTTCAAATAATTATACGTATATATTACTTATTATTTTTATTATGTGTATCATTGTGAAATTTTGTGTAATTAATTAGAGTTGCATGATTTCGAACGAAACGAGAATATTCTAATTCCAACAGAAATCGAAGTTAGAATTAAAGTAAGAATTTTCTAAACGTGATGATTAAATATAATTAAATAATGGCCATTCTGCAAAAAAAAAAAAAAAGAGAAAAATCATCTGTTTAAAATAATCTAAAAATTTCTTCAACAAACTTCGATTTCAATTTCCGTGATTAATCGATCCATTAATTGCGTCGTTTCATACCGAGTAACTGTTGTGTAATCCGTAAGTGCAGTTGACGTTCGGCATACAGCTTATGATGGTATTGTTTGCGTCGACAAAGCCGCTGGCATCCCTTAGAGCTGCCCCACCAGCGAAGAGAACAAAAGTGACATAACTGACCATTGAGATTAGCAGTGCAAGAAGAGTCCCGATCGGTATGCTACTCGCCGGGTCCTTCAAATCGCCGGAGATGTTGGCGCCAGCCTGAATCCCGGTCACAGATGGAAAGAAAATGGCGAACACGGAGAAGAACGTATGGTTGTTGTTCTCGGAGAAACGATAGTCCGGGCCGAAATTGTTCGAAAATACTTCAGCTGAAATTTTTAATGATATTAATACTTTAAAATTCTGACTTTTTAAGAGTATTTTCCTTGTAAGATATTTAAAATTCTGACTTTTTAAGAATATTTCCCTTGTAAGATATTAACACTTTAAAATTCTGACTTTTTAAGAATATTTTCCTTGTCAAATATGTATTGAGAATGGAAGATACTACAGAGTTTCATTCGTTTGTGGGAAATGCAAAAATGCATGATATTTTAAAAATAATAATACATGGAACATCTGTGCTCGTTATAATGTTTGAGGGATGAAAACAACCTCTCTATTTGGATTCTGTCCTCTTAAAACTAAAATTGCAAATAAAAATACAGATGAAGTATCAGGGAAATTAAAGTGCAAAATTCACACACACAAGTCAAATTTCAAATTCCTATTTCTAGAAATTACTATTTACTATTGTATAATTTATAAAATTTCTGTGAAAAGATGTGAATTCAAATTTGTATAAATAGTAGTCTCAGTAGTGTTATACAATATTTATAAAGTAAAATTTAACGTACAAGAAAAATTATGAATTCAAATTTGTATAAATAGTAGTCTCAGTAGTGTTATACAATATTTATAAAGTAAAATTTAATGTACAAGAAAAATTATAAATTCAAATTTGTATAAATAGTAGTCTCAGTAGTGTTATACAGTATTTATAAAGTAAAATTGTTATACAATATTTATAAAATAAAATTTAACGTACAAGAGAATCCAAGGAATCCTTGTGCTTGTTGCAGTGGATACTTCGGTCCTATGATAGTACCGATGACAAAATCGAAAATAGCTGCGATGATGATGGCTATGAGGAAATTTTGAGCCTGAAAAAGAAAAATTACTTGATTGAATATTTTCAAAAACGAGTAAAAAGATTATAACTATTTAACTAAATATTAACTGCCATAGTAATTTTTATTCACATAAATATCTTGGCATAATCATAGATATCGTGAACAAAAAAAAATTTAAATAACATAAATAGATATAAAAATAATATTACTTATTTGTTTATTTTATTTATTCCAATTTATATGAAGCAAATTTGGCAAAAGAGAGATGTGAATTAAAAATTTAAGAAACAAAGGAAAGAAAAGAATTGGAATTAGAATTTATCATTCACAAATATATGATTTATCTAGCTTTCATTTTTCTTTTCTTTGTATTTATAAAAATATATTAAATAAAATAAATTAATTTGTAAAATTTAATCAATATTGAATAAATTATAAATTAATTATAAAATATATTAAATATAATAAATCAATTTATATATAAAAATATAATTAATTTGCATAAATATCTGCGGACAATTTGTTCTTTGTTTCGTAGACGATAACGCATAAAGTTTCGCGTGTTCTCCGGAAGAAACGCGTGAAATAAATGAAATGCACCTTTGACTCCCATTCCATGCCAATCGCGCAGATCATGATCATAACAATCAACGCGACTGTTCCAATGAGTCGGACGTCGTTTATCCCGTTGTCAATGATTTTCAAGTTGTGCTCTCGCAACAAGTCGTTCAGGGAGTCGCAGAAACCGATGGTGTTCATGGATGCCGAGACCGCGTTCGCAACCGCGAAAACGATCCCCACCGAAGCACCGAATTCCGCCCCCAGTGTTCTCGATATGATGAAGTATATACCACCTGTTCGAAGAAATTTCAATTTATATACGTCATTGGACTTAACGATTCACCCTGGAAATATTTTCATTGGCAACTCTTTCTTCTGTTCATGCGGGAATGAAATGGAAAATAAAATCGAAGAGGAAAGACGTTTGTCGATCGAATCGCGAGGATCTTTCTGATCTTCGAAAGGTCTGAAAGTATATTATAAATCGTTACAAAGTGACTTGCCATCATTGAAATTATCGCTTGCCTCTTGCTGCGCACGTCGAGAATTTTTTGCTCCAAAATTGTAATATTCTCTCAGTGTGAAGTATATTTAAAACAAAATAATAAATTTATTACCTCGTAGTAATTTCTATCCGGTTGATATACCGACGAGTTTCAAAAAGAAAGCGACGATACGACGAATATATACGATTTGGTCACTCGTTATGGTCCGCAAATCAGTTGCCCAGCGCAAGTGGTTTAACGAGAGAGAGAGAGAGAGAGAGACTCCCGAACAGATCCAGTCGTTTTACTGTTTCACTTTTATTATTTCAAAATTGCCGTGCAAGAGAAACTGGCAGAACAGAGATCCAAAAGATCATCCGATCATCGGCAGGAGGAAAGTTTCCTTTCATCGCTCGTAGATTGAAACGATCCCTGATGTCGCAGGGGATCGTTTCTACGCCTCTTCGTCGCGACTAGGATTTCGCGCGGTTGTTTTTCAATCGTCTCTCTCCTTTTCGTGGAAAAACAATTGTCGATTAGCCAGCGAGGCGAGCGTTAAAACACGACGACAGTGTGTATATACACGGTGGCCACTCCTTGACGGAGAAAAGACAAAAGGGGTGAAAAGAGGATGAGAAAGAGAAGCCGCGGAGGAGGGGGAGGGGATGGCGGGGTCTCCCGTAACACACCTCCCTTTACTTCCCCATTAGTACTAATTGCGCTAAGGCTAAGCGTCGTGATGACGCAGACGGCCGCCGATATCCCGATAATGATGATGCTCTGCAGTATGCCCGCCTGTGCCACCACCCACGACAGTCGCAGGAAAAGCATCACACCCCATATATTGAGCAGGCACGGTATCAGAACGCCTTGTATCCATCCTAGCTTTATTCCTGTGTGACCTTGCTGCGCTACACCGATCTGGCCAGCCTCCACGTTCGGGTCCTGAAAATTTCCAATTTCAAGGTTGTTGCCCGCGTCATTTATTCGTTCACGAAAGGTTACGCGAAGAGCGTAGTTGAAATTGGCCAAAGCGTGCAACGAAATGGATCCTCGCGTCGATAGTTTTTTATATTAACGAAAGGAACCGAACGTACATTTATTTATTAAGTATGAGGATTAAATATTTATGTATGATTTTTACGTGAATATTTGCACGGTCGAGGTTAATGGACAAGTGAACTGACTTTGAAACAATTCTTTGAAATTTGCGAATATTCTTTGCTCGTCTGTAGCAAGAATTGTTCGACGATTCAGTTATTTTCCTGCGTTGTAGGAATAAGATTGTTTCGTCGATATTGACTCATCGCATCAAATGAGTGGTATAATCATACCAGCATGTGTAGATATTTTACGATTGGCTGTCTATTTTAGAATTCGATCTTTAATACGTGTCGTAATACTCTGTATATGAATCATTATAATTTAATCGATAAATTATTAAAATACACACATTTGTAGGATTATTGAAACAGAAATCAATCTTCAATTTCAGCAATTGAAGAGGAATATACATATTCATATATATATAATATAATGTATAGGTATATAATATAATATATATTTTATAGTTTTATTACAAATATAATATATATTTTATAGTTTTTTTATTATAATATAATATATATTTTATAGTTTTATTATATATATAGTAAAAATAAAATATATATTATATTATATTATATACCTACATATTTTTATAGCGAAACTATAAAATAGACTATAACAATTACATAACATATAATATATGTATACATGTATAGGATGCAATCATAAAAACAACAACAATAATAATAATACTATATATATATATATATATATATACTAATAGTAATATTGTTCTGTGAATTTGTTCTCATCGGAATTCGAAACATCTTTTCCACGTTTGTTTAAAATGGAGCTCATTTAAAATGCTTTCTCGATCCCTGGTTCAAATCAATAATTGCACAAACGCATTATATATCGCGTTTCATTAACTTAGTACAACGATCTCGGTGAGCGGCGGGGATTTCAAAATTAACGCCTTTTCTAATTTCCCTCGCTGTTGGTATTTACTGCTGTGCAAACTTAATATACTGTCTCCCATTCGCCTCTCGTTACGAGTTCGATCGTCCTTGCCGTAGGAAGAGAACTCCGTCGGGTCTCATTTGACTCTGCGACGCGACACGACGAAGTTTGCGAGTTGATTAGCGTATCACTTGTGATGCACGCACACGTTTATTCAATTACACGTTTATTTCGTCAATTTATTTTTGCCCGAAAGCGGCAAAGAGAATTTCGAACACGTCGTTCGACAGTTTGTGTTCACTTTATATTTATTTAAAATTTTCCTTTCGGGGAAAGTTGAGAGAAACTTTGGAAGCAATTTCCACCCTTTAACGGTGGAATTGCTTACTAACTAATTTTTAAACTCTCAAATTCTCGAATTTGAAGTTTTCGGAACTTCTCTCGCGAAAGCTTCGTAATTTAAAAACTGAAATTAACGCGTTTATCTAAATTTCCTCATTGACCGCAGTTAAATGAAATGCAAACGAAAACATAACGACCATATGTAGAAAAATGTCGAACCAAGTACACTAACATCCGAATGTTTTCCTCGTCTTCAAGAGTATATTATTGATAAGAAAATCTTCAAGAGTATATTATTGATAAGAAAATCTTTAAGAGTATATTATTGATAAGAAAATCTTCAAGAGTATATTATTGATAAGAAAATCTTCAAGAGTATATTACTGATAAGAAAATCTTCAAGAGTATATTACTGATAAGATATATATATATATTTTTTTGATAATTCAGATGTTGAAACTTCATACCAACCCTCTCTTTTTATTCTATATTGTTAAATACAACATTCTAGTTTGTTAAATATAATACAGTCCCAGTTTTGTAATTTTCCTTTTATATTATGTAACTCTTATCGAAAATGTTTTTACATGCTTGTCATACTTAATTTGTCACACACTTCTCAGTATTCTAAATTTTTAGATTCTTGATAATTTTGAGTACTCGAAATAATTATTATAAAAGAAACAGTTCTCAATACCCCAAAAGATCGTTCGAACTTTTTCTGTCATGTCTCTTTCAGTTTTTAGAATCAATGAAAATTAAAATTTCGAAAGTTTATGGTTTAAATGAAACTTTATAAAAGCAGTATGATTTGTTTTTTCTTTTTTTGTGAAATTTAACAAGGAGAAAAAAGATAAAGATAATTCTCTAAAAGAAATTACTAAAAATTACGAAATAAATTATATTTTTTCTCCAATGCGTTTGATAATATTGCAAACGAGGGATGGTGGAATAAACTATAGGGTGTGGCAATCTTACCTTTATAAGATTTCCTTCGTGTAGGGTGCTCAGTGATGGCCTTTTAGCACGACGACTCAATCTACAAACAGAAACGTTCCTGTGAATCTCTGTGACGGTATTAGTGAGTGTACAGGACTAATTAAATTAGTATATATGTATGTCGAACCATATGGAATGAGAGTCGGTGAATATCGGTGGAATGATATTTCACGACGTTTGAAACAGTATCATTGAAACGATAACGATAATTGAGAATAATTAATCAGTGACTAATAACAATCAAGATATTACCAACAATACGTGATGTATCGTATGACAGTTTGATTGTAAATTTGCCAAGTTTCAAATATTCGAAATAGAAAAAGAAGAAAATTTTATGGATCTCAATTAGACGATTACATATTCCAAATATGGACAGTGTTTCTTACATTTTGTTAGAATGAACGTACAATTAAATCAACCAGGTTTTTCGATGAAAATCTACATACAATTATTACATGCATATGTGAGAAATAGATTTTATTAAATTATCGACGAATTGCTTTGAACATTTTTTTTTATTTTTCATGTGTATTTGTATTTTTAAGTGCCCACAAATACATGAAATCTCTAATTATAATAATAAGATATCACTAGTTATAATAATAAGATATTTGGTACACTTCAATGCAATTGTATAGTAGATTTCGTAAGTTTCAAGATCTTCGCAGATTTAAGATTGATAAAAGATTCATTACATTTCGCATACTTGAGTTTTTCATTCGACTAATCAATAAATCCTTATTATTTTCCTTCTACACTGAAAATTTCATAGTTGATCTTTCATTTTTTATTGTTCATTCCAATGTCTAAATAAGTGAATTCTTTATAACGAAATGAAACGTTTTTATCAAGACATTTTACCAAGATTTATCAAATTTTATCAAAATTTATTTAGTAAATACAGAAATCGAAATTTTTAAAGATAGAAGTCGTATGACGAAAATCGTTTCTTGAATATGTTATCTACGTTTATTATATTCAGTTTTATTATAGATATTTGTCTAGTTCATGGCAATTAATAACGTACATATGTATATGTTCAGTTATACTAACTGTGTATGTTAGTTTCAACGTGTTATCTAATGATCTATAATTATTAGTAATATTATAAAAATTATAATAAAAATATATAATATTACGTTTATAAAAATTTCTAAATAAATTAACTAATAAATCAAAATTATGAAGGTACGACCTTGATAATCTACGAAGAGTAAGAAAATTAAATATTTCTGAATTATTAAATACTCGTCAGAATTATTAAAAAATAAAGAGTATAAAAAGAGGCGAATATATTAATGAAAGGATTAATTTTTGATAAGACTTCTGATGTATAATTTGCATTATATATTGCAGAATATCCGTAATATTATAAAAATTAAATATATGTGCCAATATTATTTCGTATTTACTATAAATCTTAATTTTGTTAAATGTCAAGATTAAGATTATTTTGTGGACTGGAGTGAGTCCAATATATACAAGAATGTACAAAATTTCCAAAGTTACGTTATAATTTGTTTTTTTACAAGTGAAAAAAATTCCTACGTTCTACGTTCTTCTGTTGACAGGAAAATACGGAATTGCATTAAAAATGCTCACTGCAATAACGACAGAATAATGATAAACGTTAAAGATAACAATGATAAAACTGCGAATTAACGTGTCTAATAAATCTTCTTATCTGGAAAAGAAGCAGTTAAAGCGATCGAAGCGGTGGACGAGCAAGCAAATTTATTTTATCACTTGAAAAAAAAAAAACAAAAACAAAAAGAGAGCAAATTGTTTCCTCGTTCGGAGGAAACGGGCTTTTAAATACCGTTGCAAGAAATAGCTAATTAGATAGGAAATACGTCCCGCTGACCGATACAGAAAAATTAACCGTTTCGTTTCGCGAGTATGCACGTAGTATCGGAAAATCATCAACTTCTTCGATACGAAACAGAAGGGAGAAATGGAAAAAAAATTCCACGCTTCTCGCTAAGCCAATATTAATGGTAAAATTACAATAAATCGTCGCGTGTCGGACAAAAAACACGCTTGTGTGTGCTTTAACAATTTGAAATCCTAATTGCAAAAATTGCAACAAGCCTAAGTTTTGAAGTTACGCGAATCATGCGTATACATTGCGAATTAATTTTTTTGTTCAGTGGTTCTGGACATAGAAATTGGAAAATACAAGGCCAACTGTTTTTTTTTTTTTTTAATTTTAACTAATTTTTAAGTTTTTGCGATTTGACAAAGATTTATTCGAAGAACGAAAAATTAAAACAGTTTACGTACACATTCTAATACATGTATATGTGTACTATTTCAACCAGTTACTAAAAACTATAAAAAATAATATACAGGGTGTACGATTTTTCAGAGAAAAATGTTGAATGAATCAAAGAATGTTCGAAACGTTCGAATTTATCCTCGATTAGAAAAAGAGCGTGCAGAATGAAGAATTGGCCAGTTTTCCAGAATTCAGAAAATCGTTTTTTCCGAAAATTCGCAAGGTTGCGTCGAACATTTCTAAACAGCTACTTATTGCATTTCGAATTCTTATTCTTAGAGAAATGTCACTAATGAATGCTTCCATCGAAATGCATCAAAATGGTCGCCTTTGGCAAACAAAATGCGTGCGTGCACCACAAAAGAAGCATAAATAACGTAAGGTAAACATACTTTGTCTGTGCAGTATCGAACTATCTGCATGCGTGCAATTGTAATAAATGCTCAAATTGCCATGAAGGTGGCTCAGTGTTACAGCTATGTTTACTTTTACACGGTATTTCTCCTTCCTTTATAATGGCCGACATTCTGTTTGCTGATGGCAATCATTTCGTACGTCCTCTTTTATTTCAACTACGATTCTAAGTACACGGTTATTTATTCCGGAGAGATCGTCGTGCAACGTTTTGGAAAATTCGCAACGATTTATTTTTACAGCCGGAGTCACGATTCTTTCCCTTCGTCTCCTCGAGGAAACGATATTTCGAAATTCAGACTTTATTTTAACAACGTTCAACGCACCTGTAATGATCCAATCGCGGGACCACGTCCCACAATCCACTAACGTTTAGAGTCATTGCTGATCTCTTGTTATTCTGGCCTCCACCAATCACCTCATCATCCATAGTTTTTTTAAGTACGAGTCAACCGTGTCTCGTTAAATCTGTAAGAATAAGAAAGAACGAAAAATACGTTTAATCATCGGTTATGTTATTTTCATAATGAAATAGTTGATTTGATTTGATTTTAATTGTCGTATTAATTGAACTCTTTGAAAGGAAAATGGCGCCAGATCCATAATTTTATGAATTGAAGTTATATTTAGTGAAATGCAATGTAATATAAACATAATATAATACAGTGTATATAAACGAGATCGAGTGATATAAGATATAATATAATTTAGAATAATGTTGATAAAAAGATGTGCAGTATAAAAATTACAGAGTGTTATATTGAAATATCTTGCATGTTTGTTAGCAAAAAAATGTTCTTACAAAAATTGTTCGATATGAATAAAATGTTACAATGTTTTAAATTAAAATATTAAAATTCTATTATATAATTTGGAATATAATTTTAATTTAGAATATAATATATAATTATAGTATGTAATATGTATAGTATATAATATATAATTATAGTATATATAGTATAATATATGATTACATTATATATTATATTCTAAATTAAGATATTAAAGTTTTATTATATTCTAAATTAAAATATTAAAATTCTGTTATACAATTTGGAATATAATTTTAATTTAGAATATAATATGTAATAATAGTATATAATATATATAATGTAACATATGATTACATTATATATTATATTCTAAATTAAGATATTAAAGTTCTATTATATTCTAAATTAAAATATTAAAATTCTATTATATAATTTAATATATAATATATATAATAGTTTAGTATATAATATATAATATATATAATAGTTTAGTATATAATATATAATATATATAATAGTTTAGTATATAATATATATAATATAATTTATAATTACATTATTCTAAATTAAGATATTAAAGTTCTATTATATTCTAAATTCAAATATTAAAATTCTATTATATTCTAAATTAAAATATTAAAATTCTATTATATTCCGAATTAAAATATTAGGAGGTGGAATTGGAAAAGGAACAGATTGACCAAGATCAGGATTATTTTAAGTTGCCTAATTTACGCTGTCGATGCACGTTCTTCACAGATCGCTGGGACAATGCCAGAAAATTCCGAGCACGTGTCATTAAAGTGTCGAAAATATGATCATTCGTGAAAATATTTGGCAAATTGTCGTGACAAATGTTTCAAACGGCGAACGCGTGGGTGACAAATTAACTTTCACGGGAAATTAGTTAAATCGAAGCACTTCACTGAATCATATTTTTGTTTCCTGTTGAATCTTCGTTTTGACTGCTAATCTGAATAAATCAACCGAGTATTTCCTGAAAGTATCAAAAAGAGACCTTTATTCCACGACGTTGACTCACTAGGTGCAAATCGGCGTATTACGAATAGTTTGCGAAATACGGGCAACGTGTTTAGCAACGTTCCTTACGAGAATCGCTGCGTAATCATATTTTCTGTTTAGCATCTGATCAAGGTTCTACAGTTCTACGAGAAAATTTCTACATGTCAAATATTGCCAAGGGTAGTGGAGTCAGTAAAGCGAGTGTAGACGTATCACATACTGAAAAAAGACATTACGTACTTGAAATCGTACACAGCCGAAAATCGTCGATGTTCGATCAGTATCACATACTGAAAAAAAGACATTACGTACTTGAAATCGTACACAGCCGAAAATCGTCTGAAAACCAGGGATTCGTCTTAAAGCGTGAAATAAATCTTCATTCTCACATCGCGAAACAAACGAGAATGTGAGAATACACTTCTTCTCGAAAATCCTACGACTCAGTACATGAAAATAATTTTTCTCGCCACTGAATTTAATAAAAATTTGAGAATTGAGGCCTCCCCCTTGCAACGATCCTCTAAAATTTGACGTACGAGTCTTTCCGATTGTTTCATTGAATATAAATTAGATACGGATTGTAAAATTTAACAAATTTATATTGTAATAACAACGATGTTTATTTTAATTTATATTTATTTTAATAATAATTCGTTGAACTTGCTCGTTATTAAGAGAATCGTACGTCGAATATAAGTTTCGTTATTGCTGTTTGCGAGTCTTTCAGACTTTGATGTGAAGTATTCGAGTCGAGTTGAATACATTATGATCATGTGGCTGCTTTTATTTCCTCGAAGAAGGAAGAGAAGTAAGAAACGAGTTCCGAAATATTCCAACGACCCTCCGTGAGGCTGAGATGCCATTAATCAAAAAGAAGTCGCAGAAATCGTATGGGTCGGAGAACTATTCAAATCAAATTCGAACAGTGTATCATAAAAATGACTTGAAAATCGAATTGATCATTTAGCTGAATGTTATTTGAAATGATTTCTTTTCTAGATTGTTTCATTGTTTGACTGTCGAAACAAAATAACTCTTTATTTCGTATGTAATTGTAAGTAAACTATTCAAATACTGACGTTGGTACTTCATTCGAATGATCGAATTAACTCAAATAACAGAAAACTAGTGATTTATCCGAATTTGATACTAAATAAAGTAACTTTATGTTGTAATAATTCCAATAAATTCGTCACTTTGTATTGTAATAATTGCATTGTAATAATTGCAATTGTATTGTAATAATTGCAATAAATTCGTCGCTTTATATTGTAATAAATGCAATCAAATCAACGATGTTTTATTCCAAACGACGTGTGTCCAACAGAGCCTGTCGGCTCTCTCGAGAATAACAAAAAGAAGAGGCAAAGAAGCAGAAAAAAGAAAAGATCATATCCGCGCTGGTTCCGCTGTCTCAACCTTCGCGTATTTTTGAAGATCGTCAAATCAGACGAGCAAAAAGTAAGAGGTCGACGGGGGAAAATAGATTTTCAAAGAAAGCTGTGTACTCGTTGCCGTGAAGCTCGAGAGCGAAAGCTCGCGAACTCCTTTTGCTTCTTCTGTTCGTCGTGGCGTAGCGAGGGATTTTCATGAAATTATTTGGCCATGATCCCGGAATTCGTTTCACGCCAGTCAGCTTCATTCATTCGCGACCCTCGCCGAGAATATTGACACTATGCTGCTCTCAGTAATCAGCTACTTAGAGCGGAAATAAGTTTCCAGCAGGGTTGGAAACGTTTTATTTGAAACAAAGATCAGGAAACGACGAGCCATTTCTATTAATTTATTATTTTTATTTTATTATTTACTATTTTTATTTTATTTTATTATTTACTATTTTTATTTTATTTTATTATTTACTATTTTTATTTTATTTTATTTTATTATTTACTATTTTATTTTATTTTATTTTATTTTATTTATTATTTTTATTTTATTTTATTCTACTTTTATTTTATTTTATTTTATTTTATTTACTATTTTTATTTTATTTTATTTTATTTACTATTTTTATTTTATTTTATTTTATTTTATTTTATTTTATTTTATTTTATTTTATTTTATTGACTATTGTTATTTTATTTTATACTATCCGGGAAAGATCTTGTCGATTTTTGTTGATCACGATTGTAGAGACGTTCCTGATTTTTTTCTGAACGAGTTTCTAGAAACAAAAAAATTATTGCTACTCAGAACATCTGTTCTGAAAGAATTGAGAGAAAAATGGCAAAAATGTTTGGATAACCATGTGAGGAACAAAGAGTTCAATAATGAAAGTGCACAATTCTGAAAGAAGAATTGTCAAGGTTATTTGCGCGAGATTTTTGTAAAAAACGACATTCGTAAGTTATTAAACTATTGGCAGAAAATGTGAAAGTATATTTTGATAAATAGATTCGTGTTGTTCGCTTAACAATTTTCCTATATATATGATAAATATTTGAAAAATAACTTGAGAAAAATCAGTTCACTTTGGATCTGGATCAGATTCAATTATTTGAGATATTTCATTGAAGTAAAATAACAAATAATCCGAACAATGAATGAAGTTTACACAATAGGAAGAAAAATTAAACACAATATTTGAAAAATTATGAGAAGGAACGGATACAATTTGATAGACAAATAATTAAATAATTTCGAGTATATCACGTGCTTGTTTAAATAAACTAACGTAGGATTATTTCAAGAGAATATCGAATCAACTAAGATGATATGCTGTTTAAATAATTATCTTACAAATATTTTATTCAAATAATGCTCATGCCTGATTTCTAGCAAGATTGTGCACTTTTTTTAATATAAAAATAATAAGTAGAAAAGAGAAGTGATTACTGTAGCTAAGATAAGAAATAAATTTGTTTGAAAGAATGAGTGACAAATAAATTTATTTGTCACACAAATAAATTTCAGGCAGTACACAAATTTTTTTAACAGTTACAATGTTAAATGTTTTTTTTTTTTTTTTATTTAGAATCAGATTTAGATCACTTATAAAGTGAATAATTATGAATAATGTTTCAGTGCGGTAGTAGACGAATTTTTTCAAACAGATCACGTTTAAATAAAAGAAAAAGGACAATTATAGAAAAGAAATTTATATTTTTGAATTTCTAAATTTCTAAATTACTGAATGTCTTTATACAATGTTAAATCATTTTTCATTTTCATATAGAACCGCGGACGCGACTTGTGAACTGGACAATTTCAACGCGAATAATATTTTAATATGTTGCAATTATAACACGAATAACATTTTAAAATGTTGATGCACGAGTTCTTTTGAAAGCCACAATTTGTAGAATTTATGATACAATGTTGAGTCATTTCTCACATGAATGAAAACAAGCATGTTTGCAACACTGAGTTATTTTTCATATAAAACGATAAAGGAAAAGACTTGCAAATTGGACAAGAATAATGTTTCAAATTGACAAACGCGCGAGCTACTGTCAAAATTATAATTTAAAGAGAGTTTAATTAAGCAGGCGTATAATTAAGCAACCTTATCGTTGATTTTAATATGTTTTTCTTTGCGCAGCAGTTGCAATATTATTTTGCATGTTTATTCAATAGCTATAAAATGGTGCAGCACGTGTAATGAGTCACCTTAAATTATCTTGAGTAATATCGATCGAAGAAAAAAAAGGATAAACTGTATTAGTTAGGTGTTTTAATTATTATGATTTTAATTCTTAAATTGAATTTTAATTTTCAATTAAATAATTATTGCCATTTCTTGATATTGCTTGTCATCGAATTTATTTATTACGTTTCGTTTTATATTGTATTAAACGGAAATAATTTAATGCGTTCTTAAATCAGACTCTTAATTTTTAGTTCTTCGTTTCAAAATGAAATTCATAATTCTTTCGTTCTTAAATTAAATTTCTAATTGCCAATTCTGAAAGTGGTCTCGGTACTTCTTCAGTGTCACATTCTCGATTCTTAATTTCTAAATTAAATTCTGAATTCTTGAACAAACCAGACCTTTTCAATACTTTCATTCTCGAATGAAGTAAATTTTTGACTCTTCCATTCTCAAGTAGAGCTTCAATTTGTTCTCAGATAAAGTAATTCTTTTATTGGAAGAAATTTTTTAGAGTGCCATACTCTTAACACTTCATTATTAAGCATCGTATCCTCAATTTTTAATTTCTGGATTAAATTTCAAATTCTTAAATGAAGAAAATGTTCAAATCATTTGTTCTCAAATGAAGTAAATTTTTATTCTTAGATAAGATAATTTTTTTAATTTCTTTATATATATATATATATATATATATATATAAATTTTCAAGAGTGCTATACTCTTAATTCTTGAATAAAGAACATCTTTGTCAATTCTCAGATGAAAATTTTTCATTCTCTTACATCGAACGAAATTTTTGAGCATGTTATACTTTATACTATATACAACATCGAATTAACCATTCATTTGAAGTATGTATTCACAAATTTTTCTGCTTTGCGATATAACTGTACGCCTCGTATGGTTTCTGTATCTCAGTATATTTAGTCAACATTACCATTTTACACGTAGCCTGGAGCGTGCGATGCGTTTCAGTTGTAATGCCAAAGCAAATAAATCTCCGAGACATTTTTGCTACCCAGCTTTTAGCTAACTATCTAGTATTTTAACAAACATCCCTTGTCCATGATCGTGATCGCATGCACGCAAGCGTGAAGTGTGATTATGCGAGTCGATGTAATCTCTTGATTGAAATTATATATAAATTTTCATTCACTTTCGGTTCTATTATTTCATCTTTCGGTTCATTCTTTCAACTTCGGATCGATTTTTTTATACAGTCAATTATTTCATTATCTTTATGAAAGGAGAAAAATATCGAAAGATTTTCCACTGAAAAATACACCTTTCTATACCTTTTTTTCTCTCTCTCTCTCTCGTTCTTCTTTCTGATTGCATTATAATTGGAAATTTTGAAATGAATTTCGATGGAGAAAACGAGCGAGTCTTTCCTACAATTTCGCTATCTTTGCGAGAGAAGAATTTTCCATTGAAAAATACAGGAAAATTACTGCTATTAGTGCTATCTACGTAATTATCTTTCAGAGTCTTAAACATAGTATAATTGGTCGAAGATGATAATTCGTATTCCATGAATATTTTTCCAGAGTTTCTTCGTTTCAGAATGTCGTGCGTCAAGTCGAATAAAAATAAGGAAGTCAGGAACGAGTATCGATCTGGAAGGCGGCTGATTCTAATACACAGATACAACTGATACAATTGGGATGAGATGTAAGCCGTTCGATGCGCGTTGAACGTAACCGTAATACGTAACACAGAAACGTAACGATCTTGTCGAAATATCGTTTGTCCAACAGATTCTTAAATTTATTATAAATAATTGATTTAAGAGAATGTTAACTCTCTTTGTCAAATATTTTTCTAGATTTTCTCTTTTTTCTTTTTCTTTCTGAGAATCTGAAACTATAGGAAAGATGGATAAGGCGAAAATGTGCTACTTTCACGTGGAAAATAATTCGAAGTTTTAAGAAGCTAAAATTAAAATGTAAATTGAGATTTTTGAATGTTGTGATGGAATTTTTCATTTGAAAATGTATTAGTGTTAGAAAAAGTCATATTTAGCATGTTGTATGTTGTAGTTTATACTTTCGATATTATAGTATTGCTACATTAACGTATAATGTATGTATATATTTATATACATATTTTGTATATTATATTATACTATATTATATTATATTATATTATAAAGATCACACGTAATATATTATATATCACACTAAATTATGCTTTCGACACAAATCATTATTATGATACTATAGAATTATACATTATATGATACTATAGAATTATACATTATTATGATAGTATAGAAATATCATTACAATAGTGTCAGGATATGAATGATTGAAATCAAAACATTAAGAATAGAATAAAATTCTTGGTTATTATGGCAGCAAAAAATTTGTGCAACTTTTTATTCGAAAGCATATTAATTATAGAAAAGATCATATGTATAATATACTATACAGTGAGATGAACTTTCGATATATAGAAATTATGAATTATACTATACAGTAATATAATATTTGTATGAATATATAAAGTTTACTGTGATAATAATCCGGAATAATATAATTACAGTAATGTGATACTATATGAACAATTGAAATTAAAATCTCAAGAAGTGAAACTCAAAACGTGGGTTAGAATTCTTGGTTATTATGGCACATAAAAGTTCCTAGTGTTAATATTGAAAATTAAATTAATTAAAGATACGTAATATATATTATTTGCATTATAATATTGTTATATCAATATATTGTACATATTATATTATATTTGTACAAATATATAACATAATAGTTCCTAGTATTAATATTGAAAATTAAATTAATTAAAGATACGTAATATATATTATTTGCATTATAATATTGTTATATCAATATATTGTACATATTATATTATATTTGTACAAATATATAACATAATAGTTCCTAGTATTAATATTGAAAATTAAATTAATTAAAGATACGTAATATATATTATTTGCATTATAATATTGTTATATCAATATATTGTACATATTATATTTGTACAAATATATAACATAATATTTATTGCAACTATTATATAATATATAATAATATAATATAATATACAAATACACAAGGCTTACTATAATGACGTTACAAAAACACCAAAATTATAGTCGAAATTCCAAGCAGCTAGTGGATTTTAGAATTTTCGGTTATCACGGTTAGCGCGGAGAGGCCGCTTTTTATTCGGAAGCATAACTCTGCATTTAGCAACAAGCCGGCAACAGTTTATATGAAAAAATTCTTGGTTACGTTACGTCCACCACGCCGAATACACGGCCTTGCGTACATGTGCGCACGGACACACGTTGGAGGATTTATAGCGGGATCGGCTAGAGATCGAATCTTGGTTAAGTGCGCACGCCTGCAACCAAACTTCAAAGTTTGTGTTTTCGTACACGAAGCGTCATGAGATAAGAATTAACACCGTAACGTCGTCACACGTTTTCCTTCTATTTTCGTTTTCAGCATAACTTCCGTTTCGATTTGTTTCGATGCCTAAAAGAGTTAATCGAGTACACGCAGGTGATTCTTATTTAACATTGCCATATTGATTGCTAAATCGCTGTTGTTATTCGTAGCAAGAGATGTTGGACAATGAAAGATGAAATGTTACTAACCCTTGAACGATAGTAATTCGTATTGTGTTAGAAAAATTCTAGTTATTTAATTTTATTTCTTTTCTTTTTTTTTTTTTTTTACAGTGAAAATTGGCAATTGGAAATCGAATCAGAGTTTCAATACTAGTCTGATTTGTCCGGGAGATTCTGCGACCGTCGAAATTTCAGAATTCCGTGACTCTCTTTTCATTGAATCGCGCTTAAAGCTTGAGAGAAGGGGCAAGAGAATTTTTTCTTTTTATGTAAAATTGTGGAATTTTAGGACTTTGAACGAAGTTCTCTCTCTATGCTCCGACAATTTTATTAATCTCTCGAGAGCAAAGGGTCATGAAGAGTCAAGAAAAATTTCAACATCGCGACAAAGAGCCAACCTATTCGAGACTTCGCAGTTTTTGTCATTTCATAAAAATCTTTTCACAGTTGATCTCTGAAAAAACACGATCTTCAAACACAAGTGTTGACAACTGTCTTCCTGAGACTCACATTTTATCAATCGACACAATCCAAACCTAACATCTGCTATCTATCTACACACATGCGTACGCACATCAATCTCTTCGCGTTTTAATTTTACGCATCTCTGTATGTAATTTCTTTTTTTTTTTTAAACATTCGTATCAGTTCGTTTTAATCGTAGACTAATCTACTTATTTTTTGAACCAACTATCAGTAAGATAGGCATAGTTTGCGCGACATTTTGTTCGATGCATGTTACATGACACGTTACTAAAAAAAAAAAAAGAAAGAAGAAAAAAGAAACAATAGGATTTTCACTTACAATTAGAACACGTTCACCTTGTAGTAGTACAAATATAGCACTATTGGAGTAAATGACTGGATTGGACCAAGTGGAGTAAATGGCTCAAATTATCATCGCAAATACAGAGAATCCACAACAAGTATAGATAGCTCCGCTGTCAAAGCGATCCAAAATTTAATTTGCACAATGTTCGACGATTACTCGAGATAACTTAAGATGAATCGACATAGAAAGGAATTTTAATGCTAATTAAGTATCGCGAACTAACTTGCACCATGATATATCGTACAGAAATTTCTTCATTATGTTTCTTGAAGTTAAGTTATTCGTTGTTATTAACAATTTTGCAAATGCAATTAAAAATATGAAGTACAATGTGTCGAAACTGAAAATACAACGTGACTTTGAATATGCATATATTTAAATCCAATACAAATGGAGTATAAATGTGTATTGTATAGTTTTAAAATTTAAAATATTTAAAGTGCGAGCTTTTTGTTTCTTGTCAATTTTCTATTAACTTCAATCGTCGTCAATCTTTTTACATATTCGACAAAAAAAAGACACGAAAAGTGGAAAAGAAGTAAAATAGAAAAAAGACGTATCTCTACCCATAGAAGCTTTCAAGAAGGAAGACAAGAGAAAAGAAATTTTTCCAAATTTTCAACTTTTCATTAATTGTACTGATACTCCTTGCTTCGTAAACTTCACAAACTTCGTCAAATCTATCGTACGAAAATACACTACACCAGACTCTTTCACCAGGAATTTTTCAAAGAATCTCGTCAGAGGAGAGAAACAAAAAAGACAGAACAGTTTCTCTCGAAATGAAAAGAAATTCCCACGTAACTGCGCAGAATTTTCAATTTTATTCAACAGTGACACCAGCCGACTTGTTTCATCAGAACTTGGTCAAATCGGTCTATCGGTCATGCTTCCGAAGGAAAGAAAGAAAGAGAAGAAACTTGGCTTTTGACCACTCACTCGGTGCGCCGCGGCTGACGGAAGTCGGAAAACGGAATTCGCACGCGATTCCACCAGAAGCGATCAGCGGAGATTCTAACGCGAGCCACTGAACACACCGTGCAACACTGGTGATCCCTCGAGCCGGCTCGACATTAAGGAAAGAAGCATGCGTCCTGCTTCCCTTTCCCCATAAAACTCTTTCGAACACACGCGTGCACACCCACTTAAATACACACGCGGCGTCGCGCGAGCGCGCACGCGCGTCCACGCGCGGGTTTTCGTCTTCTTCTTCTTCTTCTACTTCTTCTTTTTCTGCCGCGCGAAGATGCTGAGGGCAAGAGAAGTCGAGTCGAAGAACTCGGTGCCGAATCGATTTGTAATTGGGACAGAAAAGTGCCGGGTGGAGTTCGTACGAACTTGTCCCGGTAGACAAATTGCTTGTGAACAAGGGCTATGGGGTGTGTACAGGTTTGGGTGTACTCCGAGGTTTGGCGTCTGAGGTGTGTGTTTCGATGTTTAGCGACAGTCTTCGTCTATTTCTCATTTTTCCAATTTAATTGGCCTCGAATTGCCACCAAGTGAATATCCACGGTGGGAAAATAAATGGTAAAGTTCTACGCAATTTCTTTTATCGGTGACAAGTAATTTATTTAACATAATTTGTTTATATAATATAATATAAATAATTTTATATTATATATTAATATATATTAATTTTATATTAAATGTATAATATAATTTATTTATATAATACAATATATAATATAAATAATTGTATATTACATATTAATATATATTAATTTTATATTAAATGTATAATATAATTTATTTATATAATAGAATATATAGTATAAATAATTTTACATTATATATTAATATATATTAATTTTATATTAAATGTATAATATAATTTATTTATATAATAGAATATATAATGTCAATAATTTTATATTATTTATTAATGTATATTAATTTTATATTAAATGTATAATATAATTTATTTATATAATATATAGTAATATATTATATAATATAATATAAATTATATATTTAATATAATATAATTATATAATATATAGTTTTAGTTACCTAAATACTAAATTATATAATTTTAATTAACTAATTACTAAATATAATACAATTATATAATATATAGTAATTTATTTCATATAACTAATATCGATAATAAGTAAGTTTCTCAATTTCTAATTCGATTGTTAATTATTGTCAATAATTTCTAACTTGTTAATGATAAAATGAAGTCAATTATGCGTAGAATTCACGCAGATCCTGTTCTCACGTATGGGATGAACCAGTTGAATATCTCCGTATGTTTTTGAACACACGAAGAAACTCTATTAACGAAAATTGTTCAGTATAGATGGGACCATAGTGTCACAGTAATAGTTTCTTTTCTTTTCTTTTTTTTTTTTGCAGACTTTCCGACCATTGAGATATTGATATATAATCAGTTATCTTACATACTAAAATATTAGCCTCTCTGCACTCTAAATTTCTTTAAATTAATTAAACAATTTATATTGTTTAAAAAAGTGATGTTCGATTATTGAATCTTTAGAGTCGACTCCAAATTCACGTGACGCCAATAAAGAAAATATAACAATAAGTCTGAAAATAAAATATATTTCTTTCCTGAAAGAATATATATATTTTACACTTTATTGCTTTTACTGTTAGCTGCAACGTTAAGAACCCGATTCTTTCAACTACTACGACAATAGAATTAAGTTTCCTTGAATTTAGTAAGAAGATAATGTTCGTAATAAATTCAACCTCGCAAAGGTGGTCCCGTATAAAAAAATCCTACGATCGGTGGGTGAAAATATTAGAGCAATAAATACATTCGGTTCACGAAGATACTTGGATCGCAACCCCCGGAAAAAACGTCGATCAGCCGGAAATTCCCAAGCAACCCCAAGTGCTTCCAGGAAAACCCCCTTTGCGGTAAATCGAATCCCTACTGTCTACTTTCACCCATTCCACTTATCCTCGATCGAACGTGACACCGGCTCTGGCAATCACTCTTCTCCTTCAGTCTCTGTTTCGAGATGCTCGAGAACTTGGGCAAGGGCGAAAACATAACAGATCGCTATTTAGTTAATCCTATTACGGTTCTTCAAGTTTCCATATTTCAATATTACATTATAATATAAAGGACACATGGTGTTTAACATAAAACTATAAGAAAGGAAGAAAGTGTTTAACGTAAAAAAAAATATATATATATATTTATAATATATAATTTATATTTATTATATACATTTTTATAATATACAATTAATATTTATTATATATATTTTAATAATATATAATTAATATTATATATATTTTAATAATATATAATTTATATTTGTATAAATATACAATTTAGAATAAAATTTATACAACTTTCCTATATTTTATTTACTTTATTGTATTTTACAATCTCAGAGAAACGTAACTGGGTCAAAAATGACTAATGAGTATACAGAAGATCATAAATTTTGTTTTTAATTCTTTTTCACAGGTTTCAATTTTTCTGAGGAATGTAACTTTTAGTCACCAAATGCTTTAGTCACCAAATATATCGTTTGTGACATGTGGTCATTTGAAACTGTAATAGATATCGAGAAGTTGCAAATTATTAATTAATTATAATTTTGTATTAATAACACTCTGACAGCGAATGTGTTAACTTTTTGAGGGCATGTTTGGATTAAGAAATATCCTATCTTTCTTCAATACTTTTCATACACATCGTAAAATATTTTTCAATCCATCATGAAAAATGAAAATCTAAATTTCTCAAAAAAANTCTCCTTTTAATTTCCACGAAAGGATAAAAACAAAAAAAAAAAACAAAACAAAACAAAAAAAAAAGTAGAACCGCAACAGGAAATTATACGCACGAAATATTGTAAAGATCACACGTTACAAAAAAATTCAAAATTTCCTACGAACGCGTAAAGATTCGCAGTCCACTGATTAATTAAGTTCAATTATCATTATCGTGTACTATTATCGACAAACATTTTGAAACACGTTCGCTGTGTCTAAAACACAGAAAACCACATTTTAGCTTCCTTTATTTAACATGATGTTTCAGTACAGCGCGATAAAGTTCGGAATTTATTTGTTGAATAAAATCATTTGTTATCATAAAGATAATAAATTTCTAAATTCGTTCTAATACTAAATTCGTAAATTTTCAAATATTTGGATGTTCTATGGATAAGACCAGACAGCCTAGCTAGATCGCATGGGGGATGAAGCATTGTGAACGCAAATTCTGACGTTACGCAGTAGAGACACGCCCACGCTTTCAACTCGACCTTGAAGCGATACGTTATCGAACGTACATTATGTACACATAATAGAACGTTTGACTATCTATCATGAAAGTAGATTGTTCATTGATTATCTTTCCACGAGTTTGTCACGCCCGGTTCTCTCGATTTAGATTCTTCAGATTCTCTTTTGAGATCTGTTTGACCGGAAACCGTTGTCTAAGCGCCACATCCGGTCCATCGCGAACGGCAGAGCGTTCAACTTTTACTAAACTGGACTTATTCACAGTGCAACACTTCTCTTTTTTTTTTTTTTAACGTGTCTGTGTGACTAACAACAATGGAATTTCTTTTTGCTTGACAATATTGTTTTACGTTTCTCTTGATTTATGTATTTATGTGATTTACCGTCGAGTTGCACGAAATTGACAGACGAGGCAATTTTTTTGCTGAAAAAATACATTTTGTAATGGATATATTTAAGTTTTGAATTTTAATAAAATATTTAACTTCTGTTAACATTTGGATAGTTAATTTTTATAAAATATTCATGTTATTTACATATATATATAATTTTATCTTGTCACCTATTTATTTATATTAAACTCTCATGTTTTACATAATATCGTATTACATTTTAAAAATGGGATTATTTCATTTCTACGAAAGTCAAATTAAGTATCGATAAAAATTTTCGTTCTATACAAACGTTCCATATATTTCAACAGTGATTTATATCGTACATCAAACACTGTTATCAAGCTATGTGAAATTATACTTTTATTCCATTTATCTTGTAAAGCAATTTTATTAATCCTACATATATATCTCAACACTGATTTATATTGCTCTAAATAATAGTAGTTCATCAAGCTTTGTTATCGACCAATCTACTGTACATCGTATGGATATCTCTATTTCAAAATATTTACATCGATAAGTGAAGTTTTTGTTATGAAATTTAATTCTTCGTATCTTATATACATATATTTTTTCATTTCAAAAGATTAATCGGGACATTTCCTTAAATCTTAGATTCTTCTAAGAAAAACTTCCTTAGCAAATCTTCATACGATTGTATAATAATTATCGATTGTTAATTATTGTCTTCAATGAGAATTAATTTCCACGTGCAGAAGGTGTAATATTTCACAATTATTTATATTCAGTTATTTGAGAACAACCATAATTTCAACGTGTTAGTTCTATCCTTACCTATTTCATTAAATAACAAGTTCATATTTTTGATCATGGAAGAAACATTAATATTATCAAAATTGCTAATATTGCTAATCAATATTTCATTAATATTATTCGCAACCAGCTGCATTTGCATAATAATCAAACACACAACGACATTTTATCCACTTCGGTTTCTTTCCCGATATGCGAGAATTCTACCATGGCCATAAAATCCCTTGACACGTTTGACACGTCTTCCACTTAGCTAATTGACTTTTTGTCTTCTATGAATTTTTATGACAGTCTCGAAACAGGCAGTCCCATCTGCGGCTTGTCTTACTTATACTCATCACTATGCAAGTTTATATTTCTTTTGAACGTAATTGAAGTAAGATCCTGATAGAAAATTGAATCTTAATCCTCAGTCTTTGCGTGTGTTTGATATATTTAAAATTTTCTGCAAATGCATACAACGTGATCAAATTCTTGATGAAACTCCCAACTAAACACTATTTATATTTTATATTTAAAACACTATTAGCCGAATATATTTTATATTTAAATATATTTAAAATATATATATATATATATATATATATATATATAAATAAAAATATATGTAAAATATATTTAATTATAAATATATTTTATATTTAAAACACTATTAGCCAAATGATGATTTGACAAATCGTAATGACTTATTTCAAGCTAAAACTGGGTAAATTTCGTTTGTCATA